CCGTGGGGGGGGCCCTAGGGCTTCCTCAGCAGGACCGCCGTGCACGTCACAGCCCCGGGTTAAATCCCATCAGGATAGCTCACCTGTAAGTCGCAGACCTGCTGTGTGGAGAGAGTACAGGAGACAGTGAATTGCAGGGGGCCACGGTGAGGAGTGGCGTTCAGACAGAGCCCAGGATCTCCGTGGAAAAGACAGCTAAGGGCACTGGGCTGTAGCTCAGTGGTAGAGCACTTGCTTGTAGTGAACTGGGCCTGGGTTCCAGCCCAGCTCCACACACACTCAGCACCCAAGAGTACGCACTGGCCCGGGAAGAGACAGTGGCCCCTGAATCTGGCCATCGCCTGGGCTGTGAGCACGCACCCAACTCATCAGCAAGCTCCCTTGGGTGGACTCAGGGGCAGATCCTCTGGAGTAGCTGCTTCTATCAGGGATGAGGTTTCAAAGGAGCCCTTGTCCTGAACCCTAATATTTTTATACTTGTGACACACCTATGAACACCATGTAATTCTTTTCCAGTTAATACAGATTTTTAAATCTTTTTTTTTTTTTGTACCAGAGATCAAACTTGGGACCTTGCACTTATGAGGCAGGCGGTGGAACCACTGAGCTAAACCCCTGGCTAATACAGATTTTTAAATTGTACCTGCCACACAGGCTAATCTTGTCAGTTGAAGATCTGAAGGAATCTTTTATAACCCATATTGCCTTAGGGTTTTTGTTTTAGCTTTTGGTACTAGAAATCGAACCCAGGACCTCACATGTGACAATTAAGTGCTCTGTCCCCAGAGTATGTCCCAGCCCTGCCTCGAAGTATTTTCAGAAGCGGTGGCAGCAACCTGCAGACGATATGGACCCACCTGTGCCCTCCCTCAGGGTGGCTCCGGGCTGCGGCCTGGGAAAGGGACTGGAGATGCTCAGGGAGAGGCTCCATGGCCTGCCGCCCACCAGCCCAGCTGCAGGTGCACAGCCTGCCCAAGGGACTCTGGCCTCGGCATTCCAAGGCTGTTCCCCCCTTCAGCCACCGCCATGAGGACCTGCTGTATCATGTCAGCCTCATTGTGGGGCAGGCCCAGAAACTTCAGGGCAGTTAACCCCTCTCATCCCTGGTGTATCCCAGGTTCCCAGCCCAGGGCCTGGCCTATGGTTGGTGCTCAGTAAACACTTTTTAAAGTGAAATGCCTCACCAAGTGACCATAGGTCACAAACAGCAACTTTGCCCTTTTCTTTTTTATTGTTTACTGTACATTTTAGGTATACAGTGAAGTTACATTCATCACTGGGAGCTTGTATCTTTACGTGATGTATCTTGGTAACTTTGCCCTTTTCTTAGTGATGAGGTGAGCTCCCTTCTCTAAGCCAGGGCTGCCCAGAGATTTTCCCCATCCAGTTAGGAGGTAGGTCAGGCCGGTATGTGCCATCCTCAGGGAGCTGGCCCTGTGGCTGTGTGCCTTTCCCTCCTCAGGACCAAAGCAAAGCAAGTGGAAATGCTCTGTGCATACCTGCGCTCTGCCTGCTGGTCGAGCTGCCAGCCAGAGACCACAGCCATAGGCAGGGCCGGTGACCTGAAAGCCAGGCTACTAACGAGGGTGGCTGGGTCTTTAGGACTATGATTTCCAAGGTGGAAATGCCTGTCCTATGCTTTACTCTTTTGAATCCTTCTCTCTAGCACTGAAGTCTAGGCATTGACCAACCGGGATGGGATCCAAGAGCTTGTAGTCCCTTGTAGTCCTGAGCTGCAGAAGCAAGGGAAGCCCCACCCCACTCACTGCCAGGGGAGCCCTTTCAGCCGGGATCCCCAAGGGATCACAGGTGGCTGCATTTGAGAAGCCCAGGCTGTCTAGTCTTGAGATAACCACCTTAGCTTTCTATTTGCTGCTGAAATAAACTACCATAAACCTAGTTGCTTAAAAGCCTCATCTCCCATCTCTAGGTCAGTAGCCTGGGCAGTGTGTAGCTCACGCCTGTAATCCCAGCACTTGGGAGGCTGAGGCAGGAGGATCGCTAGTTCAAGACCAGCCTGGGCTACATAATGAGTTCCAAGGCAGTCTCAACTACATAGTGAGACCCTGTCTCAAAAAAACAAACAAAAAATGTGCTTTGGATGGCACTTCTACTGCTTCAGGATTCTGTGATTAAACAAGACCTGCTGAATAATCCAGAATAATTTTTTGGAGACAAGGTCTTGCTTTGTAGTTCATGCTGAACTGGCATAGCCAGTTCATAGCCTGGACTGGCCTTCAACTTGTGGCAATCTTCCTGCCTCAGCCTCCCAAGGGCAAACTGGTTTTATACACCATACATGCAAGGGGTAGTACTGTGAGCTTAGTTACAAGGTAAAGTGCCCAAGTGCCAGTGTACAAAAACTGCCACGAGGCACTGTACACAAGATGGGGTTAAGCCTATGTATTCAAAGTGGGACAGTCTGAACTGCACCTTTGTCATTTGTGACCAAAACCGAAGCAAATCTTCCAAGTCTCCAATATAGACCATTTCGGAGATCTAAGAAAACCAGCAAAGTTCCCATTAGGAACATAGCACACGGATTTTTCATAACACTATCAGCTAGCGAAACTGACAACTGAGTCTTTCCCACCGTCACACTGGTGCAACGCTCAGTTGCCAAGGGAGCGAAGATGCCGCCTTTAGCCCTCGGGCTGTCGTCCCTGTGGTGGGCAGTGCAGCAAGGCACTGACCACCAGAGGGTCCTGTGCGCACCCTCAAGTTTTAAGGAACACAGGAAATGCTGCAGAAACAAACCCCAGCCGCTCCCTCCATTCCCAAGCCAACGCTTTTCTCGCCCCCACACCCAGCTTTCCCTCTCCATAAACGCTGCTTCTCTGCAGAAGTGAGCTGCCAAGGAAGGGACCTTTGGAGTAACCAAGTCCTGCCCAACCTCCACGGCCCCTTGTGCATCGGTGCCAGAGCCGGCACGTCACACACTCAGGCTGTTCCCTCCCGGTCTGCGATCTCACGCTGTCCCCGCCTCCGTGCTCCCCGAGTCAGGCACCATTCCTGGCACTGGAATTGGGACAAACACCCGAACTCTTAACTTCACAGATGAAGGTGCAGTAAGAGCTGGGGTCAGCCGAGGTCACACAGCAGTGGCGCTGAGCCAAGTCCAAACTTCAGAGAGGCGGCACCAACAAGATGCTTTAGTGACTTATGTACACGTCCCATTTTTATGTTCTTCAAAGTATGGATGACAATTCTTTCATATTAGAGATTTGGTCTGCTTTTGCTCGTGATTATTGAAAAAGAATTCTACCCATATTACAGTACACTTCAAAAAACAAAAGAATACAAAGCCGGGCGTGGTGGTGCACGCCTGTAATCCCAGCACTCAGGAGGCTGAGGCAGGAGGATCGCTGTGAGTTCGAGCCCAGCCTGAGCTACACAGTGAGTTCCAGGGCAGTCTCAACTACATACTGAGACCCTGTCTCAAAAAACAAACAAACAAATAAATGAATACAGATTTAATCAAGTTATGAAATTTTCATAAGTCAAATTTGCTAGCTGCTGAGGACCTACTCAAACTGGGCCAACTGAAAGCATCATCCTAGCTGCAGATGGCCTTTCATTGTAGCAATCTTTTGTTTTTCATTCTTAAGTGCAGCATAAAGAAATCAAAGCCCACAGTAAGTTTAACAAGGACCGTTTTTCTTCAGTTGCAGACATCTGTAGGGAAAACTTATCATAAGACCTTGGCAACTGAGCAACAAGTAGAACTCCCACACGGGCTGAATGCCCAGGACCCAACTGGAGAGGCGCCCCCAGGCCATCCCATATCCTGTTCAACCGGGACTGCAGAGCCAGCTGGGCCGACACACATCAATTTGGCTTAAAGCAACAGAAACCTAAGAATACTGACAAAAAAAACAAAACCAAACAGTAACGAAAAGGTAAAAACAAAACAAAAAAACCCAAAAAACACAAACCCACAGATCATTATGGGAAGCACACTTTCCTCCAGAGAGGAGTTACGCCAGAGCCATACCATAAACACACCTAATAGCGGAGGAAATACTCCATGACACCAAAGAATGTGATATAAAACTCCAATACTTGGTTTCAAGCTATAAATAAGTTTCAGGTTTTTATATTTCACAATTTAAATCTTTTATTAGAGTCCACAGTCTGCTAAATAAAAGCAGTAACAAGATATTTCACAAACTATTATACAATTTAAGACTCATGAATTTAATTTCATAAAAAATTAGGTGCATATTCATTCTAACCTAAAAACGCTGTTTTTAATGGTCTGAAATACATTAATCTATAACACTCAGTTCCAACACAAAAATAACCCTATCAGCTTTTTTTTAAAAACATGTTTTACAACAAAAAGTTTGTACTCTTAAATCAAATAGACCCACAGACTAATTCAGCATGTAAAAAATAATTTTACAAAAACCCAAGGTAACACTTTCAGATCCACTTTTATTCTTTTTTCTTCTTCCCATACAGAGCTTCTCCACACACATTTCTTGCAGCCACAATCACTTCATGTTGGCCAGGTACCATTTTACCCCAGAACTTTGTCGGCATCAAAATGAGTTAACCAGTGTTAAATCCATGAAATATTTACACTGCACAGCACATTAAGCTTTAGACACTTGGCAATTAAACCACATTTACAAAAGAGGACAAGACCCCACCCACGCGCTCGGGATCAGTGTTCACCGCTCCCTATCCGGCGACTGGACACTGGTTCGAAGGGCAGCAGAGCAGCAGGCAGTTACTTCGGAGGACACTGAACACTGGGATCTGGAAGTGCGCTACACGCTGTCGCCCAGGAGAGGCAGCGCCATCTTTTTCCTAGGTGGTCTCAGAATTCTAGAACGGCAGGTCCAGCGGACACAAAACGAAGACGGACGATGCAACATTTATCCCGCGGAGACATCCTACCCTGGACTATGTGCGAGCTGTGATTTTGAACGCAACTCTTCCCAAAAACTTGTCACGATCGTCCTCATTTCTTAGGTTCCTTGACCCCTCAATTTTGCACTCGACTGTCACTTCTTTCTTGGTGCTGTTGGATTCAAAAGAGACCTGGACAGCAACCAATGGCTGTAGATAGCCCACCTGACAAATAAAGGAAAACACATTAATGCAGATTCTATAGCAGCTTCATCTGCACTTCGTCAGGAGTTAGTTTACAGTAAAAATTGTGTTTCTTTTCTCTAAGAATGTTTCTGGTTTATACAGTGTTCTGTCTACTTTGAAGATAATGATACAGTGTATTATTATTCTATTATGAAATTTTAAGTTTTCTTCATTAAATCATTAATTAGATCCACCCAGGGCCTTTGCACTGAGCTACAGCCTCAGTTCTTTATCAGGTGGGACTTGAACTTGTGATCCTCCTACCTCAGCCTTCTTCAGTGCTGGGATTACAGGTGTACGCTCTGACCGGCTCCCTACTTATTTTAATTGATGAAAGTGGGTAAGACTCAATTTTCCTGTGAGCACTGTTTGAAATACATTCCACCAACTGTGATTATGCTGTTATTGTCTAGATAGTCTACGGTATAATCTTGGTATGAACTTTCCCTTGTAGTCAAGCACTCTTTAATAGAAGGTTTCTACTCTTCCCACCAGGTGAAAAGCTTTGAGTCAGGCTGGCCTAGAAGCTGCTGTGTTGCTCAGGCTGGCCCTAAGTTCTTGATTCTCCTGCCTCAGCCTTCAGAGTGCTAGGATTACAGGCGTGTGCCACCATGGTTAGCAAAGGCATTTTAATTTCTATTGTGTTGTGACAAAAATGTGTCAATTACTAACACATTTATACCTTCTTTTTTTGTAGTATAGGAAACTGAACTCAGGGCGCTTCCACTGAGCTTTACTTTTATTTTTACTTTAAGATAGGGTCTTAACAAGTTTCCCAGGCTGGGCTTGAACTCGGTACTTGGTACTAGAGGCTGGGTAATGTGTATGCACCACCAGCACATTTCTACTTTATGGAACCTAAAAGATGTGACTATTTTTATGACAATTTCATGTGTGTTTGAGGATTATATTCACTATGATTTTCATTACTAAGCTTGATAAATATTCCTAAGAGTACCCAACTGGTTATTTTATTTAGCTTTATAACCCATATACAGTACAATAAGGATACAGACATACATGCATTTACATATAAAACTTGGTGTGAATATACTCAGAAGCTTCACTGTGGTTTTTAAATATAATTCCTCACTAAAACAAACGGGTAATTTCACAGATGGCATAAAAGAAAAGTAAGATGAACGTGGAGAGAGTTAGTGTGGTGGCCCATGCTTATAATCCAGCAGGAGGATTGCCAAGAGTCTGAGGCCAGCCTGGGCTACACAGTGACATGCTAAGTTCAGAAATCGGTGCCAACTACACAGTGAGACCCTGTCTTAAAACAGAACCTAGAGTACCCCGCAGTGCCATCTTGAGTTGAGCTGTTGTAGCTCCCAATGCCCTGAACCGATTTAAAATATTTACCCTGTACAGTGACTTTAACTCTGGGAAAGAGCCAGGAGCTGCCGCGTCAGGTCCGGTGAATAAACACAAGAGTGTCCCAACGCTTTCTAAGCCTTCTTTGCCTCTGCAGTGGTTATGTAGCAGCGGCACTCACTGCATTTGCGATCACGCCTCATAAAGATGCTAAAGAAACAGGGGATCCGGAACTGCTTCAGAAAGCGGCGGGAATGACGAGCTAAGTCCATACTTCAGAGCGGCCGTCTACCGGGGCTTAATGGCAACGCTCCATGTTATTGACACGCACCATTTCATCGACCTTCGCAGATCTCAAGTCTGCAGACTGAGTAGCTCCAGATCAGCGGTAACCTCTACTGAGAGCTGTGTGTTAGCTTTGTAACTTAGTCTCATTTGGTTCGGGAGGAAATACATATATGGAAAATGTGAAGACAAAGGAGGTAAAATAATGAAATTTGAGAAATCTGGTGAAGGGCTTAAAGATAACTTTCTACTATTCTAGCAGTTTCAAGTATGAAATAATTTCAAAGAAAAAAGTTAAAAGCACATATACATCGTGATCCAAATTTTGATTCTTATATACGTATTTTAAGAAAAATTACAAAGAAATTGCACTACAGTATTGTTAAAACTGGGTAATGAGTTTTCTTCAGCATTTTTCTATTATCTCTAAATATATAGATACTAATTTGTAATAAAAGGAGTCTATAGTGGCTGGGCATGGTGGCGCACGCCTGTAATCCCAGCACTCGGGAGACCAAGGCAGGACGATGGCTGTGAGTTCGAGACCAGCCTGGGCTACATAGTGAGTTCCAGGTCAGCCTCAACCCCACCCCCCAAAAAAGGAGTCTATGGCTATATCACCCTGAACGCACCCAATGTCATCTATAATAAAAGAGGAAATGATATTTTGAAAATAATTATAATTTCATTTGTCTTGTTGGATTCTATTTTTTTTGCAGTACTGGAAATTGAATTCAGGACCTTGAGCTTACGAGACAGGCATGATGCCACTGAGCTACATCCCAGCTGGGTTTTCTTGTTTGTTTATTTTTTGAGATGGTCTCCCTAAGTACTTCAGCCTGGCCTTCAACTTACTATGTAGCCCGCACTGGTCTTGAATCACTGAGATCGTCCTGCCTCAGCCTCCTGAGTTTTGGGATCACAGGTGTGTACCACCTCACCTGCCTCTATGTTTTGTACATTAAATGTGGATCTCTACTTGTTCATATCGTTCTTTTTAAAACCAAAATAGGTCATACACAAAATTATAGGGATGTCTCTACCTATTGCAGACAGGTGATACACTTCAGTATTCCAAAAGGTTAAGTAACAGATAAGAACTTCTAAATACTTACATGCAGTTTCTTTCCATAATATGGAAAATACTTAAGGTCTATGATTCCATGATTAGGATAAGTTGATACAAGTGCTATGTTTTCATCCTAAAGTTGAAAGCAAAAGAAAACCTTTTAGGTCACAACAAAGAATTTTTAAAATTGTGTTTATAATGAAAGCAGTAGTAATTATTAACAGTGTGGAGAAACTACAATGCTGTTCCAACTATATTAAATAGTGCTAAGAGACTTACTCGTTTTTACGGTATTACATGACTAAACTCTTTGACACAATTATATTTCCCAGTACAAAAGAACTCTTCACTAGAGTCCCTGCTCATTTACACCGAGTCCCACTCCTGTAACTGCCCCACGCCAGCCTTTGCACACCGATGACAGGAACACCCCAGTAGGTTTGGAATTATATTTTTCTGAGATGAATGAAAAAATTGTGCTGCCAGACTGGAAAGCAGATTCAGGCTGCAGAGATAAGGCCCCCAAAGCCGTAGTATCTGTAAGCTGAGATGAAGCTGTGGTGCATCTGACAGGAAAGCTGCTGCACATCACTGTGAATAAAATGATTTCTACCTGCGTGCGTATGGTGCTGGGGTGCAAACCCAGAGCCTCACGCACGCTGAACATACGCTCTTCCTGAGCTGTATCTGCAGTCCATTAACTCCGACGTCTGGAAACACAAGGGAAATAGCACAGCAAAACTGTGCATCCATCCAAAAAGTCTTACTTTCGGCTTACTTTACTTCACAATCATGAAGTACCACGTGCGCAGGGTAGGAACGAGAAATCACACAGGCAGCAGAGAACAAAGCACGGTGATAGCCTCACCCTCCACGAGGGCTAAGTTCTAATAACCCAGATCCAAGCACATGCAGAGGATACAGGACGAGGAGAGACTCTAGAAGTCACTATTCACATGGTAAATCCCACCCTCCCATTTGCAATGTTTGGTGGTCCAAGGTACAGCTCAGCACAGAGCATGTGCCTGAGGGCCTGATTCCATCCCCAAGGTAAAAAAATAGGGAGAAGAAGAGGGAGAGATATTTTTATTATATTTCAGGAAAAAACTCAACACTGATGTTTTCTGCATTAACTGCTTTTGTTTACCCTATTTTACCTTAACATACGAACTTTATTCGCAGACAGAGATATTCCCCAAAATGAAATTTTCTTTGAGTAATGGTTTATTGAGCACATCACCTGTGTCTCCTGCCAGAAGCCACATTTACAATGACGGTATCTATCCCATAAGCTTGGCAAGGTTTCTCCTAAACTTGTGTTTTATTCCTCTAGTGCAAGTATACGGTGAGAAATCATGCAATAGTCAAACAAGTAGTTGAATAATGAGGTACTTTGGGGGAGCACACAAGTCATAACTGAAGTATACAAACACTACCACACTGGAAAAGATGAGCAACTCTCAATCAGGCCACTGAGTGCCACTGAAAACAAAATGAAGTTTAACAATCAACTTGTTTCTTCATACATCTTCACATGCGAAGGACTTGAAGCACACATGGCAAATGTTCTAAGTAATGGTTATCATCACTGGGTGGTATTTACTGATGTTTTTCTTTACTACATTTTTCTAAATTTTCTTAAATGAGCATGAAATACTGACAAAAATGAGTGACAGAGACATTATATCCTTTGCAGCAATCATCTTTAACGGCATGTCATGATCCATATGTCTGTATTTTCAGGATCCATCTCCTGCAGTTTGGACACACGGAGCCCACGTTCTTGTCGCTTTCAGAAGCAGGCTGGAGTCCTCTTTTAAGTCTCTAGTTGTGGTGTTGTGACCAATGTCCTGAACTGACTCAAAACATTACCTTTCAAGGTCACTTTGACTTTGGACAAAAGCCAGAAGCCACAGTGTCAGACCCGGTCAGGAGGATGAGGACACACTGTGAGGTTTTCATGAGCCCACCCTGCCAATGGACGGCATCTGGCAGCAGCATATACACTGCATTTCTGCTCAGACCTTGTAAAGACACGAAAAAGGGCTTCCAGGGCTACGGAAATGCCAAGAATGATGGGATAAGTGTGTTCAAAGAAAGAGGGAGCATTTCGAAGGGGCTTACTGGCAATGTATCTGACTGTAACAGGTTTTTAATTCAAAATTCACTTTTTGCCCTACCTTCTCCCTCCCTGTTCTTCTCATTCTGACTTTATCCAAATTTCCTATAGATCTGACTGGCACAAACTGACCTGCCTCAGTCTGGCCACACAGGTACACTTCCACCCAGATGAGAAGCCACACACTTACTGGCTTTCTATTTTACTTTAAACCGTGAATACTCTAACATGACGGTACACACCTGTAATGCCAGCATTCTGGGAGGCCGAGGCAGGACGGTTACAAAGTTGAACCCAGTATATAGACAACTTAGCAAGAATCTGCCCCAAATTAAAAATGGGGGTGGGGAGAAGCAGCGAAGATGTGGTTCAGTATAAAGGCCCTGAATTCAATTCCCAGCACTGAGGGTGGGGTGGGGGTGGGGGGAACACTTCAAAGGACACTAATGCACAAGTTCTTAAAGTGTAGACCCTAGGGCAGCAGCACCAAAACCACCTGGAAATTAGTGCAAATGCAGATTTGGGGCCTAGCCTGACCCATGAGTTAGAAGCCATGGGAATCAGGACCCAACAAACCCAAGGAAGTGCAGATGCATGAACATGTTTACAAACTAATAAACAATTCCTGTCCAAATGAAAAATGTACTTGTGCTGAATTAGGTTTCTCCCCCCACAACTTTATTTTAAAAAATTAATTAATTAATTAATTAATTGGTTTTTTTGAGACAGGGTTTCACTATGTAGTTGAGAATGACCTGGAACTCACTATGTAGCCCAGGCTGGTCTCGAACTCACAATGATCGTCCTGCCTCAGCCTCCCGAGTACTGGAATTAAAGGCATGCACCACCACGCCCGGCTTCCCCCACAACTTTAACTGGTTTCAATGCAACAATTTCAGTAAAACATCAGCCATACAATTGGAGCCAAATGTTAATGTGCAGCACAAAGATAAAATTAAATTCAGAAATTAATTTCTCCTCAGAATTCTTACCCATCTTTTTTATATTTGTCTTAGATGCATTTGCAGCATGGAGAGAAAACAAAAGAAGTTATGAGATGAAAACTGTATAGCATTCTGGGCGGGGGAAAGGGATAGGAAGAAAACAATGCCTCTGCCTTAAGGAAAATGTACCATACTCCATTAACTCTCAGATGGCACCAATTTATGTACTATTAATAAAGAAAAAAAGTCTTGATACAGTAGTAAGACACCTGCAAATTATCCCAATTTCAGTACTGCTAAGAAGGAAGAAAAAGTGAATATCAGAACTGAGGAAACATGGTATATGTGGATACAGGGCAATGTGTACAAAAATCAGACATGGAAAATGTCTTCAGTGTTGTTAGGAAAGTGAAAGGATATTCCCGAAAAGTTTGGTGAAACTGTATTCTATGAATAACCTTATAAAGTACGGTACTTAAAAACTTGAGCAGGGAGGAAAAAACATGACAAATGTCAATAGTCTTTTAAAGCATTCTAAGAAGTACACCAAAGCATTACAGAAGTTATTAAATACTAACCTTAGAAAGACAGTCTATCCTTGGTGATCCTTCAGGCTTTAAACCAATTATCTAAGGTAAAGAAACACTGATTAATTTAAATGTCACATATGTTGTGCAACAGAACCTGCCTTCTGTTGTTAGGGAGCAGTGGCAGAGGGGTTGAGATAGCACTATTCTTTGGATTAAACCCAGTTATATCTGTCTTTTTAATTATCTTTTAGACATTAAACGGAGCTTTCCAATATAGTAACTTTACAATTCACTGTTTTGTTGCTATACTGAAGAAACTGAGAAAATAAAACAGTTGCACAGTTACCCTTGAAATAAATAGAAAACCTTAAAAATCTAATTATTTATAGGATAATTTATTTCATGTAATAAGAACTACAGAAGCAGAACATGACAAGCTATTCTTTTTGTCTCATTTTTTAAAGACAGGGTCCCACTATGTAGTTCAGGCTGTCCCCAAACTTGTAGTGATCCTCCTGCCTCAGCCTCCCAAGTGTTGGGATTACAGTGTGCACCACCATACCTGGCTGATTCTTTAGGGCAGTGTTTTAGGTCACAATTCCTATCATGTTTCCATAAGGCTCCCAGAGCCTCTCCATGTTTCATAGCTATCTGCCCCACAGATACACATACTGGGAAGAACCCTATTCTAAGACTCTCACATCACCATTTAATTCCATGGGGGTAAGGCTACTTTCATGTATGCAGTTATTATAACTCTGTAACAGATACAGTAGGGTACCTCAGTTCACAAACACAACTCTCTCCACAATTCTGGCCACAAATCAAACTGGTTGAGAACTGAATCAAATTTCTCTGTAAGGTCAACATTGAACCTCACCACTGAATTTGATTCCGTTCTTGTCCAACTCAGTTTGCAACCAGTATCTTGGAAAGAATCAAGTTTGTGAACCAAGGTGTGTTCATCCATCCATTTTATGAGAGGATTTTCTGGCATTCTAAATTTATACGCAGTTTATTTGTGATATGGAAACTCCTTATTTAGCAGCGCCAACTGCAGAAGATCCAAGCTTTCCTTTTAGGAGGGATCAGAGTAATTTGCTTGTCAGAGACAGCTTCAGAGTATATGAACTCAAAATTGAGAGGTCTACCTATATAAGAAATTAAATTTTCTAAGTCAGTAACCAGAAGTGGCCTCATTCTTCAAGGGCTTAAACAGCCTCAAAAAGATAACCTGTAAGAGAACAACTCTGGAGCACAACCTTTAAGTAGCAGCAAGGCACAAGGGAGTGATCACTTCACTACCCGGCAGCCTCTCCTCTGCTGAGTTGACTCATTCACCAGAACTGTCTGGCAGAGAAAGAACATAGGCTTCTCCCTGTGCTAACAGTGCCATACCTCAGATACTACTTCTACTAAATGGCAAAACGCCACTGCCCTGGCTGCAGTTGCAACACTCCCTTGAGCTCACTGGAATGTGATTTAATTTCAATCTCTACTATTTAAATACATATATAAAACTCCGCTTTGCTATTATTCAAAAAGTTATAGCCTTTAAGCGATCCCCCAACGAAATGAGATAACATTTAATAAGGAAAGCATTAACTCAACCTAAATGATCTAAAAATAATTATCAATCTCTCAGCAGAGGACACTGGAAATGCGGAGCAGCAGAGGTACAGTATATACGTACTCTATTCATTTTCACAAGAATACAAGGTTGTCCTTGGGAATAGCCAAAATCAGGATCATTTCTACCACTGCATGCTTGAAGTAAGGTATCAGGAAACTGACATGAAACATAATCTGGACCCTTCTGTTCAAAAAGTACTCCATCAGTACAGTTGGCAAGACTCTTCTGTTCTTCTAAAGAATATGCTAAAAAGGAAACATGCAGTGTGATTGTAAAAGATGATGAATATTTCTCTCATAATAGCCCCTCCCTCACTTTAAATACACTAACCACGTTGTTCTTGTCACTTTTGGAAATAGTTCTGGAGTGTCTCTAGTTGCACTGTTGTGGCTGCCTTAATGTCTTGAACTAATTCAAATTGTTTATTTGGGGAAGAGCTGAAAGTTGCATAATGCTCGATTCAATGAATAAGGTGGACGAAGACACACTGCAATGTTTTTATTTTTGTTTGTTTGTGTGAGACAGGGTCTTACTATGCAATTGAGACTGACCTGGAACTCACTATGTAGCCCAGGATGGTCTCAAACTCACAGCGATCCTCCTGCCTCAGCCTCCCGAGTGCTGGGATTACAGGCATCTGCCACAATGCCCAGCTTCACACTACAATGTTTTTATTTGACAGAAATTGCCACACACATTTAATCAACAAGGGGTAATCAAAGAGAGTGAATATTAAACAAAATTATTATAATAAGACTCATTAATACTAATATGTTTACAATAAGGCCATACTTCATATGTCTTGCTGCAGGGTGTTTCAAACCAGTGGGAATGTGCTAATCCCCTCAAAATACTCCTCTCTCACTTTGAACTCACTTATCCCGTTGTACTTGGAATCTGTTTTTTACTGTCATAAGTTTAACAACAAAATATTATACAGTCACCATATTTTTAAATCACCCCTTATATACACTGGATCAACCAAAAAAAGATATTACTAAGCACAACCAGAAATACATCATCCTCTGGACAATGTTCTTCAAAGACAAAACTAGCAACACTAACTACCAGGTAACATTAAAAAAAGAGTTTTAGGTTTGTTTCTTTAACTTTTAAGATCTATCCAGTGCTTTAAAGTCTAATGCATTTCCAAGTCATGCGAGCTCTACCCTACAGTCTTGTTTCAAAAAGCAGTCTGAACCGGGGATTTAATTCAGTGGCACCAGGCCTGCCTTGCAAGCACAAAGTCCTGAGTTCGACTTCTGATACAAAAAAAAAAAAATTTAGATAAAGCAGTCTGAGTACCCTTTAAAAATGTGAGTCAAGCTGGGGATTTAGCTCAGTGGTTCCGCCACCTGCTTCACAACTGTAAGGTCCTGAGTTCAATCTCTGGCACCAAAATAAAGTGAGTTACATCATATTATTCTCCGCTTAAAACTCTTGATCTTGAGCCACGCTAGGTGGGACATGCCCATAATCCTAGCTGAAGCAGGACTGCTCTGAGTTGAAGGCCAGCCTGGGTTACAGAGTAAGACTGTCTCAAAACACCAAAATCAGCCCAGTAAAAAATAACGGTGCCCCGATCTTAGCCAGGGGTAGCGGTGCACACTTGTTAACACAACTACTCAGGAAGCTGAGCAAAGAAGATAGCAAGTTCAAGCCCAAACTGGGCAACTTAATGAGACCTTGCCTCAAAAAACTAATAGGAGGGGGTTGGGGATTTAGCTCTGGTGCTGCCACCTGCCTTGTAAGCACAAAGTTCAATCCCCAGTACTACACACGCGCGCGCGCACACAAACACACACACACACACACACACACACCCGCTGAAAGGAGGACAAGGGATTTAGCTGAGTGGCACAGCACTTGCCAAGCAAGCGCAAGGTGGAGTTCAATCCCCAGCAGGTTGGGGAGTGTATCAAAAAACTAAAAGGGGTGGAGTGGTAGGGATGTAGCTCAGAGGTCCCTGTGTTCAGGCCCCAGAACTGCAAACATACCCTCCCCAATCTCATTATAAAAGCCAAAGAATTTAACTGCCATTTAAGGACTTATTAATCTGGTCTTTAGGGTTTTTATGGTTTTTTGAGACAGAGTCTCACTATGTAGTCGAGACTGACGCCCAGGCTGGTCTTGAACTCACAGCGATTCTCCTGCCTCAGCCTCCTGAGTGCTGGGATTACAGGCGTGAGCCACCATGCCCGGCTTTGGTCTTTAGTTTTAATTACCGCAATCAATTAATTAATTTGGTACCACAGACTGAATCCAGGGTCTTTTCACTGAGCTACATCCCCAACTGTACTAGTTTTTTATTTTGGGGCAAGGTCTTGCTAAGTTGCCCAGGCTGGACTTGCCATCTCTGCCTCAGAGGGCCAGCACTAAAGGTGCCCAGCTGCAGCCTGGTCCTTCCTCAGCGCCCTGACCTCAGCCTCCTACTCTTCTCCCATGCTTCACTACATCCAGCACCTCTTGCTTCCTTGGTGAACCATGAACTGATCAAGCACAGCAAAGCTTAGCGCACCTGCACCTACTGCTGCCTTTGTGGAGATTTCCAAGGCTAGTCCCCTTCAATAATCTGGGGCATGGAAGTCTTCCTAGTCCATCCTTTTAAGCCTGCAACCCCTCCCACCTCTCTCTACCTCCTTTCTCTGCTTTATTTTCCTCCTCAGCACTTATTATTATGTATTACAGAAATATACTACAAGCTCCATGAAGAAAGGATTTTTTCTTTTGTTCGTGTATTTAGCTGTCAAAACAAGAGGTTTATGAAGATAGCTAGATGATAATGTGGGATGAGAAGAGATTTAGGGTTACGGTAGGAAGGAGGTGAAGACTGACAAGTTGACAGGAAGATTCCAATGAAGGATAGCAAGACGACATTTTCATGAGAAGGGATAGTCAACAGTATGTTTCTGAGCTAGAGGGACAAGAGCCAAAGCAACTGTGGTGTAGGGTGCCTCAGATGAGAGGAAGAGGAGCTTCCCTGTGAGGAAACTGAATTCTCGCCTATGTACTACTTTTTTTTTTTTTGAGACAGGGTCTCACTATGTAGAGTTGAGACTGACCTGGAACTCACTATGAAGCCCAGGGTGGTTTCGAACTCACAGCGATCCTCCTGCCTCAGCTTCCCAAGTGCTGGGATTACAGGTGTGCACCACCAAGCCCAGCTAATGTACTTCTTTATTTCTTGGAGCAAGCAAGGAATCACGTTGAATGAAAAAAGACAGGGAAAAGGTAAGGGGTGAGAGGCCTGAGAGACTTAGGTAGAGAATGACAATCATCCCTTCAAAACCACAAGAAAGCCAGTGTGATTGCCAGGCCACCAGGCACGTCCAACTGAGAGAAGTGAGCAGGTAATTAGTGCTGGCAATTGTGTTTTCAACAGCACTGTGGCTCAGCATAGGCTCAAAGGACAAGAAGTTCCATCCAGAAGCCATGTGATGTTTATCCACGAGAGAGTTCTGCAACAAGTGATCAACAGAGAGGCCAGGAATTTTTTGTTTTGTTTTGGTACCAGGGATCAAACTCGGGACCTTGTGCTTGTGAGGGAGGCACGACACCACGGAGCTGAACCCCTGGCCCCCAGGATATCTTTTTTAGTACCGGATATCAAACTTGGGACCTTACACTTGCAAAGCAGGTGGTGGAACCACTGAGCTAAATCCCCAGCCCCAGAGAGGCCAGGATTTTAAAGTACCAGTAAAGGTAAAAATTAAATAAAAAGCCATACAATGAATAAGATAAGAGGGGCTATTGGGGTGGGAGCTGAGATACAGTAAAAGAATTAGCAACTAGAAGCCCTACCGAATAATACGAAGTTGAATAGGCAAGCTAGAGGGGCAGAAGCTTGCTCAGTCAGTGATTCTGATAGTGCAGCCTCCCTGTTCTAAGGAGCAACGTAACTGTAGGTGTGTGTGGCTGCGGAGATGATTAAGTATAGGTCAGGGTGTTTGATGATTATTCATGTGATTATTATCATTCACATGAACAGTCAGGCTAGGCAAAACAGGAGAAAAATTTGGGCCAGGGCTAGTAAAGAGCAGTTCAAATTGGAAAAACTTGTAACTAATTCAGAACGTTAAGAATCTGACACAGTCAGTTTTAAAATGATAAATATCCCCAATCCCCATACAAATATTACAACAAATGCAAAAGATCCAAATACCATCTAACCAGGTATCTTACTTACTTGATTTCCATCCCCAGCACTGAAAAAAATAAAACAAAAAAGCTCCAAGGTATCATTTTCTATAAGACAAATTTGCTTGATTAGTCAAATACTTTCAGGTGTTTTGTTTTGCTTGTATGAGACAAGGCAGTCCAGGGGGGGCTTTGAACTCACTGTATATCTAGCCAGGCTGACCTCCAATTCATGATCCTCCTGCCTCAGCCCTCCCCCAACATTAAAATATCAGGTGTTTGCCACCACATCTAACCACTTTCCATTTTAATGCAGACATAAATGGTACGTCTCCGCAAACCTAGTATACTTAACGCACAGATTAAAAAAAAAATCAAATTAACTTTCAATCCACCTTAAGATTCCATATGCCTTTTCAAAATTTAGAATATTCTTACAACTGGGCCAGGATGTAGCTCAGCAAAGCTGCACCTGCTTGGAAAGCGCAAAGTTCTGAATTTGATCCTCAGTAAGGGAGTAGAGGTGGGGTAGGGATGATATTCTTACAACTGATCATAACTTGGTGCTAGGTTCTAGAATTAAAATATTTTACCTTACTCCAAGAAAACATACTTACACTTTAGAAACTTCTTAAGGTCTTTAATGTACCCGTCATAGGAACTTGGATCAGACATACTAAATGTATATTCCAATGCAGTCACTGGTTTTGGAAAAACCATAAGTCCTAAAAACAGATAAAAAAGGGGAAATTAACTATATCAAATCCCCTCTTTCCTTTTCCTTACTCTTATCCCTAAAATGCAGGTCTCAGTAGCTAACATGGAAAACTGTGTTCACAGACATGCTAAAATTATCAACAACTTATTTCTATTTAAATATTAAAATGAAGACATAAATAAATAAAAGGTTATATATCTCCCCTCCTGGCTCAGCTCCTCTCTTGACCCTTTGCTTCTTGACTGCCATGAGGTGAGCAGCTTTTCCTTTGCCACACTGTTCTCCTTGAGGCCAGACAACTATGGACTGAAATGTGAGCCAAAATAAACCTCTTTCGTTGTAGGTTTTGGGTATCAAGTATTTTGTTTGTCCCAGCAAAGAGAAAAGTGACTAAGAAAAGTGTCCTCTAAGTTTGATTATTTCACTTAACTATAATTGGTATTCCTTAAAAAGAAGCAACTTACTTTGCTCTTTTTATATTCATTTTTCAACCAAGTAATATTTTTAGGTCTTGCCAATTTGAATTAAGGTACAGAAAAAATTTTTAGCAAATCAGTCTAAACACTGTCATTCAAATTACAATTATATGGAAACATTCATAAGATAGCTTGCCTCATATTCTTTCAATAGTTAGCATTTTTCTATCATTAAAATGTGTTTTTCGAGCCGGGCACAGTGGCGTATGCCTGTAATCCCAGCACTTGGGAGGCTGAGGCAGGAGGATTGCTGTGAGTTTGAGAACAGCCTGGGCTACATAGTGAGTTCCAGGTCAGTCTAG